TCGCCGTGGTAACCTACCTGGTGACATGCGTAGCACATGTCCCAGCCAACGTATTCTATGGAGGTCGATCACTTGCTCCATCGCCATCAATCACAACAACGCGTAGAGTTCATGTGTTAGAGCCACATCACGACAGCTTCGCCGTTGTCCGCTTCAATATTGTTCCGCTAATGAGGCCTTACGTGATTTGCCACTATAGCTCCACTAAACTCAACTACAGATTCCCATGACTGAAGTTTGATCATTTCAAGTCAAGTCAAGAGTACATTTTATCTATCTAATGTGGACAGAATTTCTAGTGAAAAGTATATTATCACTTGCTTTCGCATACACGCTATTAAAAATGAGTTTAAATTTAGAAATGATATTAAATGGCACCCTCAGATGCCGAAGGCGTGAAAGGTCAACATTCTGACTTTAAGAAATGTGATAGGAGCATTTGAAGTCAGCAGACAGGAAACATCCAAGATATTTGATGTGTCGTGACCTTTCAACTATTAAGTTATTGACTAAGATGTTGAGAACAGATGATCCAGAAAGTGTTGATGGCCTACGGTCAATGTAAAACAAAAGTTCACTGCATTGGTTCGGGTTTAACGAAAGGTTACCACCATCGGATCACTCAGAAGTGGAACTTATGGCTGATTGAAGGATTGTTGTTGAGATGCACCACCAACTACTATATCACCGGCATATTTACATGTGAAAACGTTTGGGGTGACTGGCTAGTTTTGGATGTAAAAGGGGATAAAATTGATCCCTGCATTACACCCTGGTTTACAGTAACAGTAGAAGACCTAATACCATTGAGACAAGTAAATTGGTGTCGGTCGGTAAAACAGTCATGCATCCAGTTCAAAAGATGCGGCAGGAGATTATGTTGCCGTAACAGTGACAAAAGGATTTTACTTTCAACAGAGTCAAACGTGTTTCTGTAGTCCAAAAAACAAACATGAACAATCTTGTGTTTTTGGTCTATAGTGGGTAAAACAGAGTGTATAAGACAAGCAATCGCATTTAAAGTAGAGCGACGCTTACAATAAGCAAACTGATTGGAATCACGAAAATCAAGATTAGAGTATAGATGCTTAATAATAATACGCTCAAAAGTCTTGAGTAATACTGAAGATGAAGCAATAGGCCGAAACTTACCCTTTCTTTCTTTCTTAGGTGGAGTGATGCCAACATCACGCCATGTGTTAACTAGTCTTCCTTCTGACAGACATGTATTAAAGATGAATGAAACGGTTTGTGCAAGGTGTTTTGCACATGTTTTAAGGACCCCTGGGGATAACCCATAAGGACCAGCGGATTTATTTGTGTTGACAGCATTCATCTCCTTGAAAACTTGCTCTGTTGTGACAGACACAAGAAAGTGGAAATCAAGTGACGTATTTTGACTCACTAAGGCTTGCATAACATTTTTCGCTGAAACAAAAGATTTGTTGAGCTCATTGATGTCACGAGACTGGGATAGGTAAAGTTGAACGACCACAGAGCAACTTCAGTCCGTTCCATAGCTGACGGCAGGATTTGTCTCTTAGCACGGTGTCAACATACAATTGATTGAGATGGGCTATATCGCATCTGATATGAAAGTTGACAGTTTATCTATTAAGCGATACGTTCTTTCAACCCACGTCACTATTTCAGTCTATCGGAGATGAAGCGGTTGGGCTGTAGGTGAATCCTTTCTTGAGGGTAGCACACGTCATAACAATAGTTGAGATTATTGGTAAAATTCTCACAAAATACTGAAATATTAAGATCAGACAGTAGATGTAAGTCCGTACCGGCAACTATGGATTTTAATTCCATCAAATTGACGGGATGATTTTATCGTATACGTACCTTACAGGTATTCTATTGTTCATTATGCTACATCGTGTAACAACGAAGCAATGCTCGGTTTTGTAGCACGTACGATGATCTTGTTTCATACCTTTAAACGCATTCCGGCTTTATTTTTCC